CCCACCCAGCCACAGCCTCCCAGCACTTAAAAAAGCCCTGCGCTCATCGGTTGTAGTAGTGGTGATCAGGACCTCTGGAGGCTCATGGTGGCCCCCCCCATGCAGTGGGGAGCAGCGGGGATCACCCCCCCCTGCTTGGCACCCACATGGCAGCTCACACATCAAACGGGTGCAGTGCGGCTCAGCATGGTGCCACGCGCTGTCTGGGAGCTGGGGTGGCTCCACCTGGCAGCTGGAGCCTGGCAGCACTCAGCCCCAGTGGCCCCAGCTCCCAGACAGTGCACAGCACCCTGCTGAGCCATGCTGCACCCACCCCCCCCAGCTGTAGTAGTGGCCATCCCAGCCTCTGAGGGCTCATGGCAGAGTCCCCCGCACAGCATGGGGCAGTGGGGGGGCAGCGGAGATCGCCCCCCCCCACCCCATGCTGTGCGGGGGGACTCTGCTTTTTTTTTTTTTTTTTTTTAAAGTGCCAGGAGGCTGGGGCCAGGTTGGGATGGGGCAGGGCAGGGCAGCTGTGGAGGCTTCTTCCACAGCTCTGCCTGCCCAGGGAGAGGCCGGCGCAAACAGAGGAGCTGCCGGAGAACCTGCAGCCACCCAGCTGTGCCTGGCTCTCCCTGGCTGATCTGAATCTTCGAATCAATGCCAAAACTCTGAAACAGATTCGGCTAAATTGAACCAGAACAGTGATCCGAAACACCGAAATGAATCACTGCCCCTCCAAAACGGCTGAATCCGAAATGGAAATGAAGCATAGCCATTTCACACAGCCCTACCAGTTAGGTATGCGTGTGGGTTTTTTTTTGCTGAAGGTGTGTGCCAATCTGAAAAGTAACTGTAGACTGGATTGCACAGAAATCACCAAGGGTAGAATTCAGTTTGTAAAATCTTCAGTAATGGTGCCAATATACAAGCAGCAGCAGTTTTTCCTTTCACATTCCAGGATCAGTTTGTTGGACTTGCAGTTAGAAAGATAGTGCTCTGTTTAATTTTAACTTCAGCACATTTGGAATTATAACTTCATAAATCCAGACCACCACTTTTCCAGGTCCTTCTCTGAATGGAAACACTGCATGACAATGTGGGCCGGCCCACCATTTTTTGGGACCCCCTGTAAGAAATAGTTTTGGGGCCCCCTGCCCCAAAGAAGCCAGTGGTGGTTCCAGTCACATTGGCCCCAGTCCCGGCTGCCTCCTGGCTCCGGCAGCCTCCCTTCCCCACCGCCAGTCCTGACTGCCTCCTGGCTGCACTGGTGCTGGCCACACCAGCCTCGGCCACCTCGCAGCTCTGGCACCTGCCAGTGTTTGTGTAGTGGAAGCTGCACTGGCCCTGGCTGCCTCCCCACCCCAGCCCCGGCCATGCACTGGCCAGAGCCAGGGCCTGGAGCAGGGCCAGCCTTGGCTGTACCGCTGGGCTGGAGGGGATGGAGCCCCTGGGATCCCTGTGCCCACCCTGCCCCATGTCGTCCCCAGGAACAGCCTGGCAGCTCCTCCAGAGGCATGGTGCTGGACAGCCAAGGGCAGGGAGGGCACTTGGCCCCCCGATCTTTGCATGGGTGGGGGTGGGCCACAACTGTGAGCTGGGCTCAGCCTCTGCTCCATCTTTCTGCATCTCACCACTGCCGCTTTGAAAGTGGTGGGTACTGCCATGTGCGTCCCACTGCTGGGTGGGCCAGGCAGTGAGGCACATGGTGGCGCCCACCACTTTCAAAACGGCAGTGGTGAGCCGCTGGGCTCTGATTATCCCATTACCCGGCTGGGGCCCAGGCTGGGTCGTAGAACAGTCCCCACAGTGCAGGAGGGAGTGGGTCAGGGGTGGGGTGAATGATTCGCCCTTCTCCTACCTCACTCTCTCCTGCACTGTGGTGGGCTCGATCTGCCCTCCCCACAAGCCCATGGAAATAAAAAACCCCCCACAGATTAAAGAAACTTGCATGTGGCTGGGAGTGTGCAGGGTAGCTCAGCATGCCCGCACCTCCCCCACCCCCGCAACCGCTGTAGGACCCCGCGGCCAGGCTGCCCTAAGGCAATGCATGCTGCTGCCCTGTGTTTGGGGGGCTGAGCCCCGTTAACCCCCCACTTCTGCCTATGCACAGGGGGGCCTTAGCTGCGGGCCCCCTGCGGCCGCAGGTTTTGTAGTATAGGATGGGCTGGCCCTGATGAAAATGTTACTCATTCTTTCTTTTCATTCTAGAGGCAAAATGAATGAATGCTGAGCCAATGCTATTTGCAACATAACTACTGCAAAAGATTCCAGAATTACCTTTTGGTTAAATGAGTCTGTATTTGGACATTTTTTATGAGCTGCATACTTGATCTTTAATACTTTTTGTTCTTATTTTTAAAGGTTCTGAAGAAAAAGCAGCTGAAGGATGCAAATCTTAGACAAGTATCTGTTAGAAGGTTTGCATCGTTCAATCTCTTTTCAAGAGGACAAGACAGCAAAAGGATTACAGAAGAGGAGACCGAGACTTGGGTTCAGTACAAAAGCATCTTTTACCCTGAGTATAGCATCTACTTAAGGTAACCTTCATTCCAGTTTTAAGATTCTTCAAGTACCTTTCAATTCTTGCACTTGTTACTAATTCCAGTGTTTGTGTAGTTGGGGCTTAGTTTGTGAGTGTGTTAAGGCATTTTTAATTGTGTATCATATTAAGTAGCCTCTCTGGATCTCATTTTGTTGCCAGAGGCATAAAGCTTCAGTAAAATAAGGATGGTTGAGCACAGAGTAGGATGCAAATCTAAGAAAGCATTTAATTTTTCCATTAGTTCTTTGTTGTCATTAAGTTTCTCCTAACGTAAACAGAATATAATAAAACTGAGTAAAATGACTTAAAACATTTAGTGCCATAAGACTATTTACAAATAATCCTAAAAAAGCTACTTGTGATGCCATTATGTTTAGTTTTCTTTCCATATATATATATATATATACTTTGTGAATCATAATTTTGGAAACTCGTTAGGAAAATATAGTGAAGATAGCCAAGCAGTTGTGACATCCTTCAGGAAGGGTATGTTCTCTGTAGTTGCATAGGTTTAAGTATACTACCTCTGACATAAGAAATCTATATTATAAGCAACAATAAAAGTTACCTCTATGCAACCTGCATTCTTAGCTATAAGGAATTTTCAAAGCTGTAAACTTCTGTATGTAGTTTTTGTCTTCTCTTCACACAACCCTGCCTTATCCTCCCCTTTCCTAGTTTGATTTTTTTGTGTACGCATCTTTAACTTGTGCTTGCCTCAACAGGCACCAATGAAAGAGTAACTTAACTATCCCTGAATTAATGCTTGTTCTAAAGCCTCTAATTAGACCTGCTGAGGGTGTAGGATTTTGTGTTCCCTGCACAGAAGAGAATATTCTGAAGAGCCTGAGTCACTGAAATTATAAAGCTCATTTCTGTTTGACTTGAACCTTTAAATTGAAGTCACTCTTGGGGACTAGGATTACACAAACAACTGACCTTCATTAACTATGACATTTTGCTAGGTTACCAAAAAATGCCTGCTGGTCATCCTAATTTGGCAGTTTAGGTATAAAGCCAAATACCCAATTACTTTAAGTCTTATAGGTTTGAACCCAAAGGGAATACAGAATTTTTGTTAATCTTCCATTTTTATATTTAGTGATGCAGTATGGCATCAAAATAAGTCATTCTTATTGAAAATATTATTTTTCTAGTGTTAATGTAATCAGAGAAAATGCAATATTTATCCTGCATGCAGACGTCTCCAGTGAACCATTAAGGTATACTAGAGACTGAGCCTTAACACAGCCTCTCTCTCTTTCTTGGCCTGCTACCACCAATTTGATTAAACTGAATGTTGTTATTATCTTCTAAACTTTTGCTAATTACAGATGTGAGCTTTAAGTCAACTATCAAGCCCACATCAAGTTTTTGCCAGTGCCTAACACTATTACTGAATTATTAGACTAGCCCTACCCTCAGATTTGATATTTGTATACTTATGTTTATAACTGTTCCTGTACCAGGGTACTTGGTATTGGGTAAATGTCATTTTTTCATTAATAAAATACCTTGTTTCATGTTAAGGGAACTCTGTCACTTGAAATCATATCCTGTAAGTGAATATTTTTTTCCCCTATATTAATTACACTTTATGAGAAGGAAAAACATCATAGAACTCTAGTTTACTTGTCTTTCATCTTTTGCATGCCTTTCATGTTGGCCAGGGAAAATCACCATACTTTGTTTATTACTGGAGAAGGCTCTCTGTTGGACTTCAACCTCTTATGAAAATTATTCCAGTAAACTGAAGGGACCGTTGGGGTTGTATTCTGGATTTTGACAGATGTTATGCTTTTCTGGGTAATGCTACATGATCCGTACGAGAAATGACTTATTCCTAGGTTGAAAAAACACTTCGATCATTAAACTGTTTTGCCTTTAGACTGAACCAAATGGCATCAAGTAGTTTGTACTTGGTTCTGGAAGAGGGAGGAGGGAAAAGGGGTAACAGAGGAATCCTTAAACTTGGTATGTACTTTTTCCAAGAGGAAATTGCAAATCCCTCCCAAGAAATGCAGCTTAAATTAATAACTGGTAATCAGTGTTGCCTCCCTCCTATTTTGAGAGAGAACTATTGAAAAGGGTAAGTAATGTGAGACTTGTGTGCCCAGTTGATTAGCCATGATACCTTTTAAAGCAGCTAACCATGCTTGGGTATATCTATAAGCCTTGAATTAGTCTTTATGGAACTAAACACTTGCTTCTGTCTTTTTTTTCTCTTTCCCCTAGTTTGAATGATTAAAGTACTCAGATGTCCCCACGCCTCTCACTGGTAATGTAGCGAGGCTTTATTGCACTTTTTATTTAATCACTGCACTCTTAAATAGGAGAGCTCCCTTATGCTACTATTTACAGGAATAAAGTAATGCTGTGACCCCATTTAAAATTCAACTTAAACCGCTTTTGGATTTTCATCCATACATGTTTTCCCCAAGCACTAGGCTCTTTCTGGAAAAGACCATTGCTTGTCTAGGATATTAAAAGGACTGTCAGCTATTATCTTGACAGGACTAAGTACTTTAGAAAGTTCATAAGGTTGTTTGTAGCTTTTGGCAAGACGTCTAAAGGCCATGCTATATCAGTTCAAGGGCTATCATAATGGATCAAATTGTATATTCAGATATGCTATGACCTAGCTGGAATTGCTCTACTAGTGGGACTGGAAGACCATTCTAATAACATAGTGGTAGGTTCAGCATTCTAATAACATAGTGGTAGCTTCAGCATGATCTACATGTCAAGTGCACTGTTGTGATGCATCTAACAGGAGTTTTTCATAACTATAAATTTATTCTTGAAATACTGAAGACAGATTAGAAGCTTTTGTGGGGAGAGTAGAGCTTAAATAGCTTCTTTCAACAAGTACAATTTGTTTGCTTTTTTCATGTGAATCATCACTGCTAGAAATGATTCTAATAAGCTATATGTGTGGAGGCCACCTGGTTTCCAACTATCCAGGGGTAAATATGCACAATATAGTGATTGATGCTTAGGTCCTTAAGGAGCCAAAGTGTTAAAACCAGAGTAAAATTAACATATCTTTGTTTTTATCCAACCCTGCAGTAGCTCTCACCCCATGACTAAATTCTCATTGAGTTTCCTGTTCTCCCCCACTGCATTCTTACCTACTGCTAATTTTCTTACTTGATTAGAATCATAGAAATTGAGAGCCGGAAGGGGCCATGAAAGATCATCGAGTCCAACCCCGCTACTCTGGGCAGGAATACTGCTGAGATCAAATGATCCCAACAAGGTATCTGTCCAGTCTCCTCTTGAAGACTTCCAGGGTTGGGGACTGTACCACCTCCTTGGGAAGTCTATTCCAGAAGTCTGATTAGCAGAAGCTACTGTGGTTAATGTCAAATATTCTGTGGAACTAAGAATCACCTTGTATAGCTGATAGTGTTCCTGTTAGCAAGGGCAGAAGTGAGGGCTCTGTGTCCCCATGTCCTGCAGGAGTTGGGATTCACATACCCCATTCAGAAGCAGGCACCCCTGCCCTTCAAGTCTGAGCTCTTCAAGTCTCCCTGCCTCCCCCATTAAGCTATGTGCTGCTGCAGGAGCTATTCTGTGCTGATGGAGGAAGCAAAACCAGCAGCACTGAAAAGCTTGCTTATGTCTTTTATAATTGCTATTTGTGTTTTATTTTTTGCTTTGTTTTGTAATTTTGGGGTTCCAGGATAAAAGCCAAGAATAATCTATTCAGTCTTGAATATCATTCACATTTATACTTATCTAACATTGTTAGTTATAATAATCCATTACAATTTTTGCAATTTAACTGTTTCATAATACTGTATTTACCTGAATCCAAAATGACCCTGAATTTAAGACAACCCCCAATAATTGGATTCTGTACATGGAAAATTATAATTAAAATTTTCCATGTGTAGAATCTAATTATTAGAGGTTTGTCTTTTAAAGTTGTCCCTACTTCTGTGCCAGGGAAAGCAGTAGCGGGGGGGGGGGGGGGGGGGGGGCCC